TCCCTGCTAGTGTGAGAGCTCTAAGAGAGCAGGACCCTGGCCGAGTCACCTGTGTCCCCAGAGAAGGCACTCAGTAAACTTTCTGAATTGAAATTCCTATTGCACAGAGGAAGCTGAGGCTCAGAGCAGGTGAGAGGAAGAGTCAAGCCTTGGTCGCCAGCTTCTCACACACACACACACACACACCAGAAGCTTCTCTTGGGGCTGGGAGAGGGAGCTCACCTGGTTGTTGGACAGCGGCGACGGGAAGTGGTGCGTGTGCAGGTTCTTACCAGTGAGCACGTGCGTCAGTCTCACCGCCTGCCCGCAACGCACCGGGGAGCCGCGTGGGCAACCCCCCTGAGAGTCGCCGCGGATCCGCCAGTAGCTATTAGCGTCGTCAGATGCCTCCACGCCGGTTACCGACTGTTGGCCGCTGCCTGAGGGCGACAACCCCCCGCCAGGATCGCCGTCAATCCTGGAACTCGCGATCCTCGGCCCGGACACCCTCAACACAGGGACCCTAAAGGCTCACCCCCCAGTCCCCATCTCTGGCCCCCTGCTGAACTCCAAATCCTTTGGCCCGTAGCTTCCGGATGACCCTCCATGCCCCCAATATCCTGACGACCCCCTCGAACCGCTGGTCTTTGGCCCCCTCGGTCCTCCAACTACTCCAGCCAGATGACCCCCAGACTCCTGGCCCGTAGACCCCCCACGATCGCCCCGCTCCCTAGCGATGCTTCAGTCCCGGGCCCCGCGCACCGGATCCGTATTTGATGTCGTGCGAATGCAGCCGCACTCCGTGCTGCGTGTTGAACAGCTTCAGCACCGACCCGCAGGTCACAAGCCCAGCGCCACTCTTGGTGGCACCGCTGCCTGGCACCAAGAGCCCCAGCAGTAGCCCCAGCAGCGCCGCTCCAGCAGCTCCGCCGCGGCTCGCGCTCCACATTGCCCCAGCCCGGCTCCGCCAGCTCGGGCCCGGGGCCGCTTCCGTCTCCACCGCTGGCCAATCCGCCTCTGACAGAGCCCGCCGTAGGAGCCAATCGTCAGCCTGCATGGCTCTCCGCCTGCCATACCATTGGGTCAGCGTAGAGAGGCCCCGCCCCCAGCTGTCTAGAGCGGCTGCTGGGAGGGGGCAGAAGACACGAGGAGCGTTTTGATTGGTCCACGCTTCCGAGGACTCACCAATGAGTATCAAAGGAAGGCTGATGCCGCGCCGAGCTGTAAGAAAGCCGCCCGGGAGCCACCGTGAGGGCACCCCACCCAGTGGCCGCTGGGCTCCTGTTCACCTAGCTCCTTCTTCCTAGATCCCCGAGCCCTCAATCATGGTCTCTCCCCTCGGACCCTAGATCCGCAGCTGCACGGTTTTGAGGTTGCTCGACCATTAGATTTTGTGGTCACAAGGGTCGACAGATCTCAGATACTGAACCACCTGGTCCTTCAGTCCCTGGACCCCAGGATTAACAAATCTCCCAGTCACTCGGTTATTGCCTCTTCTCTGACATTGGGTCACCTCAGTCCCTGGACCCTAGGGTTTCTAAATTCCCATGGCCACTCGCTGACTCCTTCCATGGCACTATGGCCATTGGACAGCAGAGGGCGGCAGCAGGGAGCTGTGTTGTTGCGGATAATACTATAGCTGTTCTCACCAGAAAGCCCCAAAGCTGCCTTAGGAAACGAACAGCCCTACCTGGGAGACCAAGTGACTGTAGGAACCAAGCCTGGGTGACTGTGTTCCCCAGGGTTCTGACATGTGCAGGTCCCAGTCTCACTGTCTTCTCAGAGGGCCGTCAGCTAAGTCTTCAAGGGTGGGAAACTTACACCACTCCTTATTTATTAATTCATGGAACATTCTTATGTTGACTTCACTCTAAGCCATGTGCTGGGGCCAACTGGGAACTGGCTCTGGGCTATATTACTTAATAGGCTGACTGTCACCCATGCACTTAAGGAAGCAACAAAACAGGGAGAAAAGTTCACGTTTAATGAACTCATCCAGGACTTTGCATTCAGAAAATCCTGAGTAGAGTCATTTTAATTACAGCAACATGTTTTTTTGGAGTTTTCATGTTTAATGTCATTTTTATTTTTCATTACATAAGGGCACCTTGATCTTTCCAGCACTTAGAGTGTCTAAATTGCTAAAGGTCTGCCCTAGATTTGGCAGACCCTACACTTGAGGGGCCTCCAATCCAGGGTGGAGGGGTTAGAATACAATCTGGGAAGCAATGGATGTGTTCTGTTGGACGTTCCAATAAACATCTCAAACTTAATATGTCTAAAGCAGAATTTCTGATCTCCCTCAAACTGCTCGTCTCCCAGTCACCAGCTGCTCAAGTCCAAAACTTGAGATTCATCTTTGATTCCTCTCTTCACTGCACTCCTCACATCTAATCTAACACATCTTGATGGCTCTGATTCCAAAACAAATTGTGAGGCTTCTCTCCTGCAACCCCCATACCACCCTAATTGAAACCATCCCATCTCCTCTCCAGATATCTACCACTACTTCCTAGCAGATTTCCTCTCCAAGACATTTTCTGCACAAGAAAGTGACTTATGCCTTAATAAACATAAATCAGATCATGGCAGGCACCTGCTAAAAGTCACCAACAGCTTCCCACTGCACATAGGACCAGAGGATGGTGAGAACACTGCAAGTAGTCTCCCTGACAGGCAAAGAAAGGATTTCTAGGACAGCAGAGACCCCAGAATTGGAGTAGGGGAGCCAATGTAGCTCTTCCTCAATTCTCTCGGGGCCTCATGGTTTCTCCTAGCTGTTCCTTTTTCCTGCCTCCCCTACAGAGCACCTTCCCCAGCTCATCTTATAGGAAGATACTCAGGGCCAATTATGGCATCTCTGGGGCTCTCCACATTCTGGCCACAGATTGTCTTCAGTTCGACATGGTTCCAGGAACTGCTTAAGGTACAATCAGCTATGGGAGAGAAGGGTAGCTAGGTTCCAAATATAGCTACTAACAATTCCTCCCATCCTTGTCAGTGCAAGCTGCTTTTCTCATCAAGACATGGAGCCCATCTCCCCTCTCCTTGAATCGGGGCAGGCATTGCAATTCATTTTGACCAAGAAAACACTGCTGAAGTGCTATTGTGGGGCTTCTGTCTGGGCACAGGCTGCAAGAGCGGCTGTGGTTCTTGGTCCCTCCCTGTAGGAAGCCAGCAGCTGCACCCTGCACCTTGCTGTAAGGAAGTGCAAATTAGACAACTGAGTGGTCAGGGGCCATGTGATCAGAAACCCTGGAGAGGGAGAAGCCATGTGAAATGTTCTAGCCTCAACCCAGCCCCCAGCTGAAAGCAGCCACGAGTCATTCTGTCTATACCTCTGCCAGCTGTCAAACCCCAACATCATGACAAATGGTTTGAAGCCACTTAAGTATCACAGTGGTTTCTCACACAGCAACAGATGCCTGAAACAGGAACTAAGGTCAAGTGTCTCTAGTACCATGTACCAGAGGTTCCCAAAGGGGCTACTCCCTCCCCAGGGATAGTCCCTAGACATGTGCCTCTGAGGCTGGGGTGGGGATATGTTCAATTCTCCTTTGAGAACTTGGCAATGGGACCTGGAAAGCTGCTGGGTATCACAGCAGCTGCTCTCTCAGAGCCTTTGGGCTCCCCTTCTTGGCTACTTTCTGCCATCAGGATTTCTTGCCTCTCTGAAAAGGAGTGGAAGATGATTCCTTCACACCATCCATGCTTGTCTTCAGACATCAGTACAAAATTAACCAGAATCTCTCAGTGCATCCCAATTGCATGCTCCTGGGAAGGAACTTGCCTGGCCTGAATTGGACTAGGATGTGCCAATAGGGCCAAGCAACTGTGGCCAAATGGTATGGCAATAAGGTATGAAAATGGCTGTCGTGACCCTACACTGCAGTGGTGGTAGCAGTGGATGCCCTCAGGGAATGGGTCTTTATGAGCTGAGCATGTGTCTTAAAAGATTGTTACCAAAAGAGCTCTGTGGAAAAATGTGTCCCTGACCTCCCCACCCCCACCTTAGGACCCTGGTCCCTCTGGCTGGCAGTGGAGCAAGTCCTCTTCCCCGAGTTGCAGAGCGTGGGTATGGTTTGGAAGGTCCACTCTGCCTGGCTCCAGAGGAAGCTCTATAGTTGCTGTGTCCTCAACTGTGTGGGCCACTGAGCATGGTCAGACTAGGTGGAGCAGGCCTGTCTTCTCTGCACCCAGGTGGGCTCCAGGGGGAGGCGTGAGAAACCCCCCAGACTCCCTGCAATGGCAGCCTGCACAGTGAGGGTGTATAGAGAATCTTTACATGTTCTCTCAGCCATAGGGAAAGGGTGGTGGAGGAAGAGGTTGAGCTGGTCCCTGGATGAAGATGCCTGAACAGGGGAGCAAACAGGCTGCTCTAGGAAGGCAGAGGGAAGGAGGGTGCTGAATGGGTGGCACAGAAAGATCAGAAGCCCCAAGAGAACATTGAAGAAGAGACCCACCGTGCCCACAGACTCTTCTAGAGAGAGCCTAGGGCCACTGCAGAAGGGGTAGTCACATGGCCAGCCTGAGGCAGCCAATCTATAGCTTGACCGGCCAGCAGCCCCCATGTGACCTGGCATGGAACCTCCAGATTCAGGAGTTAGAGGTGGGAAATACAAATTAGGAAGACAGGTGGCCATGGAAGCAGCAGGAGAAGGTGGTTCCTCAGTCAGAACATGAGGGTGTGGCATGCCGAAGAGATGAGGAAGCTGCCCTGAAAGAGGAGGAGCCCTCTGGAAACAGGAGCCATGATGTACAGAGGGGGACCATGAGTCTTGAGAGGCTTGAAGGGGTAGGAAGATGCAGACTGGAGTGGAGAAGAGCCACAAGTCAAGGACTTGTGTTCAATAGGCATGTGATTTTACAGGGGTCAAAGCACTGCTAGCTGTCATGAAGGCTGGCTGTGGCCAGGCCTGGCCCGCTGGAGTTAGTACTCAAGAGCAGGTGCGCAGGTGCATGGGAGACTGAAATTACCAGACAAGAAAACAGTGCTTCATCAACACAAGCTTTATTTCTCCTGTTGGCTTCCCTGAAAGGCTGAGCAGAGTTCCTCATGGGTATTTAGCCCATTCTGACCTCTGCTCAGGGCAGGGACTGGTTGGGTGGGCAGCATTACTGTGGACCAGGAGAAGGAGCAGGGAATTCAATGTTTAATGTGGCTTAGGGGTCCCCCTAAGCCACTGGGGGTCTCCAGGGCTGTCTGCAGGGTGGCTGACCTTGGCCTCCATTTGAGGCTTGGTGGGGCTCCGGGTCTCACTCTTGTCCCCAAAGAAGTCGTAGTCCTCTTCCTCCTCATCCTCTTCACTGCTCTGGGTCTCCCCCATGTCCACTGCTTGCTCATACTGGTTGGAGCCTGTGCTAGTGCCATAGGACATGGAGAGCTTGGGCTCCAACAGGCTTGTGGGCTCCTGCTCCGCAGTTGTACTGTTCTCTTGAGGGGTGCGCAGCTGGGAGCCCAGCAACTCAGGGTGGAGGAAGGGCTCTGCGGCCACCTCCTGATCCATGATAGTGGCTGGCTTGGGCAATGTGGAGGGGGACTCCATGCTGTGCTGGCAGGTGCTGTGGTGGGCAATGCCACTGTGGAAGGCAGTGCGCTGAGAGGCCTTGTGATGGGAGGCCTTCAGGGACACGGGCTGAGACACTGGCCGGGACACCTGGGCGGCCCACTGGGCCTCCTCCAGCTTGTGCATCAGGCAGCTCCAGTTAATGTTTGAGGACAGGCGGATGTGGGAGCCCTTCACCTTCTTGAAGCCCAGGAAGAGGTCCATGAGTGCCTCAGTGACAGGGAATGAGATGAAGCCCAGCTGCTTGGTGAGGTTCCTCTCAAACTTGTACTTACAGACGAGCAAGGAGACAGTCTGCTCCATCAAGTAGTTGACGAGCTCCTCATACCTGGGGTTGAAGAAGTGGGATATGGTGGACTTGGGCGAGATGGAGGGCAGTGGCTTCTTCTTCAGGAACATGTAACTGGGGCTCTGTGCAGCAGGCGGGAGGGAAAGGGAGACATGTCATGCTGCCCTGGGATGCACCTCACCCACAGCATCCCTCATGTCACCTACATGGACATCACGCCTGTCACACTTAGGGTACGGCCTCAACACATTTGCTCTGCTGTCCTGCTCAACAGCTGAGCACAGGTCCTGCATGTCAGCCAACCCTCACTCTTACCACACCATCATCACACTGGCCATATCAGTCAGGCCCAAAGCAAGGACAGTGACTACAGTCACAGTGTCAGACAAACTCGAGTTTAGACAACCCGGGCTCTAGCAAGCTCTCACCCAGGGTTCAGAAGAGGGAAGCACGCCTGGGCCTTGATGGGTGAGAAGAGGGTTGGGGGCTGTGCTGGAGACCCACCAGGGTTAAGCCACCTACATCTTCTCCATACCCATCCTGGGCAACTCCCTGTCATCAGCGCATACTCAGTGGAACACTGTCCTAGGCAGCAGAATCAGAGGGTGCTAGACCTAGGATGCAGCGCCCCACTCTGGAATCAGGGTGCGGGTCCACAAGGGACAGGACCCTCCCTACGTGTTAGGATCTCCGAGATTCATGTGCAAATGTTAAAAAAAATACCCAGAATTAAAAATAGCTTTTATTCATCTTTGACAACATCTGGCAGTAGCTAGGCCAGGGTTCCTGGTCCCTCATTAGCCTGTCCCTTGCTCAGATGGTTTCCACAGTGCAGAGCAAGAGACCTGAACCATGGGCACCTGCCAGTGACAGTGACCACTAGGAATGGTGGCTGAAGGGGCCCTTCCCCTGCAAACCCGCCCCTAAATCCCTCAGTCCCTGCCCCTTTGAGGAGGTGAGCTCCAGATATAGTGAAGTGAGGCGTGGGGAGAAGCTTCTTACCAAGGAGGTGAGTGGTAAGAACATAGAGGGGTGGTGGGAGGAGAGAGGCAGGGGGAGGCATGTGGGGCTGTGACCTGGGTAAGGTGGGTCTGGCTTGAGGGCACTTCCACCTTGATCCCAGGGAAAGGCAGCGTGAGGTGTAGGCTCCGCCAGGGCCGGGCCCTCTGGTTGGAGCTCAGGGGCCCAGAAGTGGACATGGGTGGTCTCTGTACTTTGGGGTCCTGGTTGGGTACCTCCTGCCTGGGGTGGGGTGAGGGGATTTTGGGCTCTTCTATAGATGTCACCTTGAGCCTGAATCTGGTGGTCCCTTGAGCACTAGACATGGGAGAACCATCTTCCTTTGGCTTGTCCCATCCTCTGGAATTGGTGCTCTCTTGGTGAACCATCTTGAGGCTGGAGGCAGTAGTAGAGTGTGAATAATCATAGTGCTCCTCCCCTTCAGTGGTTGTGGCCCACTTAGAGCCAGGTGTGACTTCCGAGTTGGAGTTGGAGTTGGAGTTGGAGTTTGGCTTTGTGGTGGGCTCCCATTCTGATGGAAAGAGAGGGCAGCCATTTTGGCGGCGGGCACCACTGAGTTTGTCCACAGCTTGGCTGACCACTCTCTGGAGGGCAGGGAAGAGGTGGTGCTCAGCCAGGAAGTCCAGGGTCCGATGGGGCTCTTGGAATGAACAGTAGCCAGGCAGGTCGAAGGATGCCGGCTGGCTCAGCAAGGACTTGATTTCTTTGTTGAACTCCCGCTTAAGGAAGATCAGCTCCCGCTCTCCAGGCCCCAGCTCTGACGCTTCATGAGTGCCCAAGCTTGAGCCCAGCAGGCCTGAGAACCCCGAAAGGGGATGCTCCTGGGTCCACTTGCTGCTGGATTGGCTGCCCATTGAGTCCCACAGCAGGGAGTCCCCCTGTGAGCAGGACTGCCCCAGGCATTTCTGTAGAGAGAGGGGGACTCTCAGAGGCATCCAGGGACAGCCAAGCCAGGCTTGGGCCTGGCCCTGGGTTCTGGGCTGTGTTCCATCCTAACCACCCCAGGTGATGGCCCCGGATCTCACCCCTTTGTTCTCTAGCCGCAACAGTCGTTTGAGGCTCTTCTCCTGCAGGAGTTTGTCTCTCATGGGTGGCAGCGGGCCCAAGCCGTGGTAGCCCAGGTCGCTGTCCCGGCTGTGGGAGCCCTGCCAGTCAGCTGTGAAATTGCTATGAGAATCGGACATGGAGCTGGAGCAGGATGGGTAGTTGTTGGGGTTCCCAATGCAGAGACTAGGCCGGACACGGTGCCGGTGCATGGTACTGAGGCTGGGCCGGGCATGTACCCGCCGCCCACCCCTTAGCACCTCCACTGGGTCCTGCACCTCCACCAACGGCACCCCGGCCTCTGTCTTCATGGTGGCTATGCGCTCAGTTGCCTTTTCCACCACCGTCTGTAGGCTGTCCAACACCTGGCCCTTGACAAGGAAATCCAGGAAGCTACCAAAGGGCCGGGGGTCCCTTGAGTTTCGGTAGTGGCTATGGAGCCCTGAGCTGGGGCTGTACTTTGATGGTGGGTGTGGCATGTGGCCCAGCTTGGAAGCTTGCCCCATTTCCGGGAATGCTGGCTTCTTAGGTGGCTGCACCTGAACAGACAGACATGTCATAGTGGGCCGGAATGTCCCCACAGGAGGAGAGGTCCCTGGGGCCCTCCTAGGGCACAAGGAGCTGGGTGGGGAGTGGGGAGTGGAAGGAATTCTGTTTTGGAGTCAGGCAGACCCTAGCTCTGCCACCTTCAGGCTGTGTGACTCCGGGCACGATGGTCCCTCTTGAGGTCCAGTTTCCTCTTCTGCAAAGTGGGGATCTCTTTAGGGTTGTCCTGAAGCTTTCCTGACATGTACATTTCACGTACACAAGCCCTAGCCAGGGAATCTAAAAGACCGCTTCCGCCCTCTCACAGGGCATGGGTGGGTAATCACAAAACCCTTCTGAGTCCCACTTGGGCTCCTTATCTGTCTGTAGAGCAGGCCAGCCCTGCTCCACTGCTGGGATGCACAGACTACCTGTGGTCCTGAGCCCTGCACACTCCATGGATGCTTCTGCAACTTGAGCCCTAGGCCCTGAGTAGACTCCACTTGGGGGGTCCAGTCCACCAAGCACCTCTCAGGCCACTGGAGGTCAGGCAGACACAGGGAATAAAATTGAGGATGCCTAGGGCCTAGCAGGGGGTCAGAGGAGTGGTTAAGGAGATAAGGACTCACTTCAAAGCCCAGAGAGGAAGTCAATAGGAAATGAGAAACGGG